ATATATATATATATAATATATATAAATAGCTATATAAATATATTAAAATTTTTATTTTCTCTCATCATTATTACAATATATCTTAATAATTAAATAAAATTTTATGTATATAGACAGATACTATTCGCAATTAGCATACATTAATATTGACAGGTACGTGTTCTCCCCCCCCCCCCTCTCTCTGTGTGTGTGTGTGTGTGTGTGGGCGCGCGCGCGCGCTGTATGAGAGAAGGATGAGCGTGTATATCTGTGTGATGTATGCGTAGATATTGGCGCATGTATATTTAAAAAAATCGACAATCTTATAATGAATTCGGCACACATGCACTGACTCCGCTCTAGTGCTGCTTTGACATAGTGCGAGTGCAGAACCACTTTAGTGCTATGCCAAATTGCACTGTCAGAAACGTCAGTGCAATATTTCTTGAACTCATTTGGTTCATTCGATTGATTCGAATATAAATTCAGCACTACACTAGCTCAGTTTTCATTTTTGTCGAATATGACAATCTTAACGCACTGAAACAGTGTGCACAAGCTGAATGCGTGGCACTGAAAAAGTTCGCACTCAGTACGCACTAGTGTGGTCTACCGAATTCGCTATTAGTCGTGATATAAAAAACAAACAGATCTATTTCATTCGATGGCGCAACATTCCAAAATCGGTACAAGGCCTAGGGTAACTGTCCCTATTAATGGCTGTGTTCGTAGAACGTTTATTTTGCAACTGTTGGAAATATTCTTCACGCTGATTGATATGCTTTTAAATCAAAAGGAATGGTCCTATCTCATTAGAGAATCATAAAACGGTTGCAAAACTATCGTGTTCTGCTGAACGCAGCTAATGTGCTTTTGTATTTCAATAAGCCATAAAGAAAACTAGCACGAATAAATAAAAAAAAATTTTTTTTTATTAAATTAAATTATTAATATATATGATATCAAAGATAATATTTTAGTTTTTAACTATTAAAATATTTTAAACACTTTTCGAAAGATATGAGGAATCTATTAATACGTACCGCAAAATGTTAAGCTTGTCCTTATTAATGTACCCTGTATTGAAACTGAGAACATTGTTACGAATGTATACTATTGAAATAAGTATAATTAAGATAAGTATAATTAAAATAATAATTTATATAATATTAACTTAAACAATTAGCTTAAATTTATTACTTGTAACTATATGTTAAAATGAGTCAAATGCGAATAGATACATAAATTGGGGGCACATTAATAGGGCTATTGCCGTTTGAAGGACTCGCTAATAGGAACAAAAACATGTTTTTTATTTTTATTTCAAATAATTATAAAGTATTAATACTTTTTAGATTAAAGAAATATTATAAGAAAAAGAAATAATTGAAAAATCGATATTGATTGCATGCAGATAAAATTGAAGTTACAATACTTAATAATTAATTCAGTAATAAGCAAATTGGCTAAAAGGCACATTAACAAGGACAATTACCTTACTTTTCGTACGTATGCCGATGGTGCGCACGCAAGTTGTACACAAACATACGGGACCTACAATTTAATGCCAGTTCCGAACGGCAGTTCAAGAGGTTTTCTTGGCAATAGATACTCTTGGTGGTTTGCAAGATCACCGAAGAGGAGCAACAAGCGCATGAAAATTTCTTGATCTATCAGGGATCGAACCCGAGTCTCCCCTAGCATAATAGACTCGCGCGCCGTCTATCATGCTACGCTCGTGCTCAAACAGATATTTATAACAAAATTAAATACATAAAAAAATACAAAAAATTTTATATAGAGTAAAAATTTCACTGTGCTCATAAATCATACTCTCATTAACATACTTTATTATCTCATTATTGTTCAAAATATAATGTCAATACTGTCTTAAAAATAAATTAAGTAATTAATTAAATAACGATTTCTTATATTTTTTACTTTTCAGATATAGAAGCGTATTAAGTATGAAAGGCCTAAAACGCATTTTTTCTTCAGTCTTCTCTTCAGTATTTATAAATACATTACAGCTATTGGATTGGAGAAAAAGTTCTGCGGAATTTTGTAGCAAAAAGCTCGAAATTATATACAGAATATATTTGTTTCAAAATTTTCGACTATTTGACGTGAAAGCTTAAAGTTTTTCATAAAAGTTCGTTTTTAAAAAATGTTTCTACAACTCTTTGTTACCAAATTACACGCGGATTAAATAAAAGAGCTTTCTGATTTTGATTGTTCATAACTCCGTTAAAAATCATCGTACTGTAATTAATAAAATAGATTGTTAAAGCTGAAACGTTGCTCTATCAAGTAGTGTAATTGCCAATTTTTAAAAAAATAGAATATATGCACATTTGAGTTAAAAATGTGATTTAAAATTATTAGTAAGTGGCTCAAATAAATTACAAAGATTAAATAATAAAGAGCATACGGCCACGACAAAGGATGTAAATAAGTTGTATATATTTTAAAAATTTTCAAATAAATAAGTAGACGTTTCGGTCAAGATTTGACCATCTTCAGTATATAAAAGATGATATTAAAAACTTCTAACTAAAACGCAAGTCAAAAGTTAAAATAGTGATAAATAGACTAAAAATTATATGATATTCGCAAACGCAATAGTTCGTTGAAAATTACATAACTTTGTTCTTCTTCGCATTAATATAAAAATAAAAATAAGAGGAAGAGTCTTGTGTCAACTGTACTAAATTGTTTGTCATTATTCTTAAAAAAGGATGCAACCTTCATGACAAGATACGCAATTATTAAGTTTTGGACTGAATGAACTCAAGCTTTTTGTGTCTAATCATCCAAATCTTTTAATTACTAGAGCTGACAAGGGCAACACCACAATGATTTTAACCTTGAATGACTACATACATAAAATATATGAAATTCTCTCAGATAATAATACTTACAGAATGATAAAAAAAGATTCTACCAACAAATTGACTACGGCAATACAATCGCTTTTAACATTTTGGAAATCAAAGGGTTTTATAGATCAAGTGGTATATAAAAAATTGTATGTTTCCGATGGAGATCTACCGAGATCATATGGGCTGCCAAAAGTACACAAGGAGGGTATCCCCCTAAGAATGATTGTTAGTTGTATCAATAGTCCCTTCTACAAGTTAGCGGTTTATTTAAAAGATATCATTGACAAAAGTCTAAATAAAAATTTTGGTTATATAAAAAACAGCTTCGAGTTGGTTAAAAAAATCAATGGCTTGCCTTTGCAGGAAAATTATCGTATATTTTCCTTTGACATTGTGTCTATGTACTCTAATATACCTAAGGAGTTGGCGTTAAAGAATGTATTGAGTAGATGGGACTTGATTTGTAAAAATACTTCTATCACCTATCTTGAGTTTAAAAGAGCCATCTCCATCATTTTAAATTCTACGTTCTTTAAATTTAATAACGATATTTACGAACAAATTTTTGATCTGCCCATGGGATCTCCTCTTTCTCCGATTTTAGCTGATGTAGTGATCCAGGATTTGGAGAATGACATTTTTAATACACTCACCACGCACATTTCTTTTTATTTTCGGTATGTGGATGATATCGTTTTTGCGGCTCCGAATAATCTCATTACCAGCATTTTAGATTCTTTCAATGAGTACCATGAGCGCATCAAATTTACAGTGGATTTTGGCGATGACACAGGCATAAACTTTCTGGACGTCAAACTATTGATTGATAGAGGGAGAATTATTTTTGATATATATAAGAAGCCTAAAAACTCGGGTAGATATCTGAATTTTTATTCGAATCAACCTATCTCACACAAAAGAGGTGTGGTGATTGGTTTATTGGACAGAGTTCTATTTCTTTCTCATCCAAAATTCCACAACATCTGTTCCTTAATCACCACTCTACAACGTAACGGATACCCGTTGCAATTTTTATTTGCGATAAACAACAGAATTAAAATTTGGTCAGTAAAAAAGAATTTTAATGTCATTAAACAACATAATGTTAATTTCCACGCGGATACGTCAATCATAAACAAAAAATTCTTTACTATTCCGTACCTTAAGCGAACCTCTGAGAAATTCAAATCAACGTTAAACAAGTTTCAATTTGATTTGGTATACAAACTTATGAAACAGCATGAATAGGTTCATAAAAACGGAAAAAAAAAGATTAAAAAAGAGGAATTTTCGAATGTTGTATACCAAGTTAATTGCAAGGATTGCAATTAATCATACGTTGGTCAGACCAAAAGAAAATTAAAGACTCGTCTAAAAGAACATATGAATGATTTGAAAAAACTTGCTAGCTCCCATTCGGTTATCACATGCCACAGACTGGAGAAGGACCATGAGATGGATTGGGAAAATGCAAAGATATTGGATTCAGAAGGTTCCTATTACAAAAGATTGGTTGCAGAAATGATACATATTAAAGTGCAAAAAAATGGTTTAAACAAACAGAGCGATACTGAAAGGTTCCCCGAAGTCTATCTCCCACTTATTGAAAATAGTTTTAAGTCTCACTCCTAACATTTTCTCCTTCCTTTCTTTTCTTTACCCCTTCCTTATCCTTCCTTAATATAAATATACCATGGTTGTTGGCCTTTGTCAGTATTAGGACGATAAAATTAATTAATACTTAAACGTATTACATATCTTGATGTACTAATGAGTCTTCATGCCCTGAGATACGTGTAAGTTATCTGTTTTTCATAATTTTGTTATGCTGCTAAAAATTTTATTGTTCAATAAATTGTGCTTACAGAAAGAACAAAGGAAATATATTTTGGTTAAATTAATTCTTCCTTTGTATTTTTGTTTTACAATAGAACTGGGTAATTGCATATCTTGTCATGAAGGTTGCATCGTTTTTTAAGAATAATGACAAACAGTTTAGTACAGTTGACACAAGACTCTTACTCTTATTTTTATTTTTATATTAATGCGAAGAAGAACAAAGTTATGTAATTTTCAACGAACTATTGCGTTTGCGAATATCATATAATTTTTAGTCTATTTATCACTATTTTAACTTTTGACTTGCGTTTTAGTTAGAAGTTTTTAATATCATCTTTTATTGTACTGAGGATGGTCCTCAAATCTTGACCGAAACGTCCCAAATCTTGACCGAAACGTCTACTTATTTATTTGAAAATTTTTAAAAAATATACAACTTATTTACATCCTTTGTCGTGGCTGTATGCTCTTTATTATTTAACCTTAAAAATGTGATATTACTATTCTTTTTTTTCATTGCATAATGAAGTTATAAGGAATATCACATATAATATAGTAATATCACATTTTTAACTCAAATTTCTATATATTTTACATTAAAAAAATTAGCATGATATTATTCGATAAAGTAATGTTTCAGCTTTAAGAATCTGTTTGTTTAATTGCAGTACGATGATTTTTAATGTAGTTTATGAGCAATCAAAGTCAGAATGCTCCTTTTTATGTACTTAACTCAAGAACAAGAAATCGTAGAAATTTTTAAAAAACAATTTTGTAAGGAAAACTCCAAACTTTCATGATATAGATAGTCGAAAATTTTCGCAAATATTTTTTGACACGTAACAGACCTACAAAGTGAAAAGAAAAATTCCCTTTTTTCAATTCTCAATTTTCTAGATATATATAAAAATTACAAAACTCACATAAATTCAAAAAATATAGTAACCATTCGAAAGTAGAGATTTCAAGCTTTAAAACATTTTGTAAATTTAAATTTTGATCATTTTTAACAAAGATATTATATATATAATTTTGAGCTAACAAAATACCGCACAACTTTTCCTCCAAGTCAATATATATAAAGAAAAATATATTAATTTGTACAATCGAATCATGAAACAAGAGTTAATCAAACACAATAAATTCACACACAATATCCAATATATCATTCTTGTAAAAATTAAAATATTATATAAATATATAAGCTGCATAAATTTGATATATAGCAAAAACTCCACATATATCCGTACATACTTTATGCACATATTACATGTATTCATATTGTATATACAAATATATATGTGTATGTTTGAAAAATATATATCTTTTTTTCAATTATTTTCTATACTTATGGATACTAAAATTGTTTATTTAGGGCAGAATAAAAAATAATAATTTAAAAAATTATAAAGAATTAAATGTAACTAAAGGAAAAAGAAATATTTGCAGAAAGAAGGTGTGAAAGATTTAAAATATTGTACTTTATTATTTACCATCCTTGTAATTTTTCTATTTTAATTTTTATGTTTAAGAACTCTGTATCAATAAGTGAAGCTCGGTGAATGTTATGAAAAAATAAACACCACATAGTTAATATACAAATGATCTTTATTATTTTTTGAAGTAATTCCTCCTAAAGACAATACACTTCTAACAACATTTATACATTATTGTGAAAATTTTGTGAAAATTATTCCTTGGATATATCGTCTTATATCTTGTTATCGATTCTGAATGTTCGAAATGTCTGTAACAGTCCCTTTTATCTTCTCCTTTAATTTAGAGCTCAAAAAAAATCTGATGGAGCAAGATTAGAGGAGTAGAGAAAGTGATTCAAATGATAATGCAATGCTAGTTCAAGAATTACTGTATATGTTTTGAATCAGAACCCCAGATAGAACGCAGTTATAATTAAATCATAATATCATCATCATGACTTCATTTGATATATAAAAATAAACTTAAAATTATTAAGATCATAACGATGCCTTTATAATATTATTATGACTTCTGTGTTTGAGGTGTGACAAGACAACTTAAGGCCATATCTAAAGATGATTTTTTACAGAGTTTTCGCAAATTGAACGTTATCTGAAATATATTGTCTTTAGGACGTATTACTTTGGAAGACAATAAAGGTCATTCGTAGGTGACTTGGGATAGTGCAGATAACTTGGGACAGCATGTATTTTTGTTAAATTTAATCGTGGTATCCATCCACGAGTCTCTAAAGGAAGTTTAAGTTTTTTTTAGTGACTCATGGATGGATGCCACAATTAAATTTAACAAAAATACATGCTGTCCCAAGTTACCTATATTGTTCCACCTACATTTGCGGTATATTAATTAAGTAATGTTTATTTTCTCATGACATTCATCGAACTTTATTGTCATATCGTATGTGTGTGTGCATGCGCACGCGCGCGTGTATACACACATATACATATAAAGCAAATGTGTGCACAATATATATGTATATAAAATACTGTATGCATAGAAAATAATCTTTTAATTTAGCAACATTATATTCTTCGTAACACACAAAAAGGATAATCTTTATTCTTTTTAAACTTGGATGGAACATAGAAATGTTTATTATCAAATTTATGCAATGTAACTGCATGTTTAACTTGTATATGCATTGTCAAAATGACTTGCAGAATTGTTTCAGTACGTCGGCATTTCACGCTAACAAGATAATTTGATTTATATACCATGTCGCTTTTGTATAATTCATTAGCCATAGTTTCGAAGCTTGTTTGTTTATAAATAAACTAATAGCATGTCGGTAGATTATCTGCATAACGTAGTGTACATGAATGAAAGTACTATTGAGGCGAAAATACCTGTTGTAGGAATCATAATAGTCTTTCCTGTCCGTAGGTGAAGGTCCCAATGACATAAGCGGTGGTGGATGACCTCCAGTGACTAGGTGCGGCATTAATGGCGGTATATGTTGGGATGGCTGATTTCTTCCTATAGGATATCTCGGCAGCGGTCTCTCCCTAGGCGGTAAATCACGTTCACGATCACGAAATGGATAATCATGAGCCGGTGAATCGCCGTAGTAAGTGTTATATCCATCTCGAGGTTCGCGTGATCGCGGTCTATCTCTCTCACGATCTCTCTCTCTTTGAAATCTGAAAAATTAAACCATTCGTAATACATTAATGGGCTTTCTATAATAAGTCATAACTTAAGCTTAAGTCTTAAACCGTGAGAAATTGGCCAATCACAGTCGAATGTGTAAGAAGACTAATTATTTATACGATTAGTCATTTCTTATGGCTTAAGGGAATTCTAAAGACGATTAGGTATATTGTAAATAGCACTTATACGCAGATGATTTACATATCATTGACACATCACTATATCAATATCTCACGCATGCCACACATACACATAAATTTTCGTATAACAATTATGTTATATTAATTATTTCATTAAACATCTAAGTCCAATTTTAAGAATTCCACGCTATTTCTTTATACAATCTACTAGTAGACTATTATTCCGTAAATACAGATTGCAGGGTTGTTAGCAAAAAAGAAAAAAAAATTTTCTTGACTCTTCCCGGTCACTTTTTGAAAAAATTCTCTGATTAACACCTGAAAGATTCTTAATAGAATAGAAACAAAGAAAAATATTAAAATATTTTATTTTATAAATAGTACAATAAAAACTATTTATATTCAATGAATTATTCACCTTGAACAAGTTGCAAATGTAAATAATAATATGATACTTGCAGTGTGTTGTAAACTTTAAATATACAACTACTGATACCATGATGACTAAATAACAAATAAATTACGGGAAATGACGGATATACATATATCTTCGTTCTGCACATTTTTTATTGAAATTTTTGTCCATATTCATAGTCAAACCTTATATTTAGCTCCCTTAAGTTTATCTTTAGATATGCTCAGTAGCAAATAAAATAATTATGGAGCATCTAAAGTTTAGATAGCTTTCACTTTTCTCGATTTTCTCTAATTTCCTTGACTGCTAACAACCCTGTACATAGCTTTTTTTATATGAAGTAAATGTTCTCAGGACGTGATAGCTCTGGAGCGCTATATTGGACTAAGAAATGGTAAAATTTCGAAATTTTTTGTCATTCTCAGCGTAGACTCCATCTCATATATATATAGACACGTATTAATGCGTATACTTTAATTCTGGAAAAGAATTTTCAAATCAGTAAGAGAGGAAAAAAGTAATTGTTATATGAAAATTATATGATTTAGTCGGTAATACTAGTGTTCTTAGTCTGAATAAATTCTCGAAAATTTTGAGAAAAAACTCAGTTTTTTCTGGTTTTTTTCCTTACCATATTTTTACAAACTTTTTCCAAGGTAATTATATTTTTATTGTTCTTTATGTCAATGATTTCATTAAATTGTTAATTTCTTTTACTTTTAAGAATTCTAAGAAATAAATCATATATGAATAGTTTTCTGTCATGATCATTTATGAAATTAAAAAAAAAATTTAAATAAATTTCTCTCTCTCTTTCTCTCCTGTTTAAAAACATTGAATATTAATTAAAGAAAGAAATCATAATACCAGAATTGAACCTCCTACACCGAAATATTTACCGTTTTCTTTCCAATGTCCAAAAAAAAAAGAGGCAAAACAAACCGTGTAAGAAGTTCAATGCTGAAGTATAATGCCGGAAAAAAAAAACAAATTTCTTATAAGAATGTTATTACGTACGTATTGCCGTATGACAAAGTTTGCAGGTATGTTCATATGTTATTTGGTTGCTGCATAAAATATTTCTAGACTCGAGAATTTTTCCATCCTACAGTCAATCAACCCGAAAAATCTGTCATATATGTAATAATGCTAAAGAAGATAAATCTTCTATTATTTGTAAAAAATAATTTAAAATAATTTAAAGCGACATTCTATCATTAAATTCAAATATTTGCGAAAAAGAACCTATTAAAAGAATATTTTTTGGAAAAAAAAAGGAAAAAATTTAATTTTTTGTTCCTCAATTTCATTTTTTCAGAAAATTAAGAACATATAAAAGAGTATTTTTAAAAATTTTTCTGCATTTTTCGAAAAAAAAAATTGGGAAAATACAAGATTTTTTCTTGATTTTATTTTTCCGGAAAATTAAGAACACTTTAAAAGAGCATTTAAAAAAATTGTCCGTATTTTTCAGAAAAAAACCATAAGAAATTCAGGTTTTTTTCCTCGTTTTATTTTTCTGGAAAATTAAGAACTCTAAGTAATACAGACGACTTTAGAATCCCCTTAAAATTTAGAGTTAAGGTAATGACTTATTGTAGAATGATAAACGTATTCAGAATGCATTTTACAAGATGTCTTTTGTATAATGATGAATATTATGCGAAGCATACCTCGGAGGTGATCTGACTGGTGATCGATATCTAGGCAATAAGTCGCGATCTCGATCCCGCTCACGGTCTCTGTCGCGGTCGCGGTCACGGTCACGATCACGGTCTCTCTCTCTGTCCCTTTCCCGATCTCTTTCTCTATCTCTATCTCTCGATGGAGATGGTCTCGGCGACTGACTACGAGAATACGATCTAGATCTGCAACATTAGATAAAACTTGAAGAATAGAATAATAATAATAATAATAATAACTAAATAAACCTTGCATGTTAAAACTACAGAAGTACCTGCTGATAGAGAAGCTGCCACTTCTTGATCTACGTTTTGGAGTACGACTACGAGGTCGGAGTGGTAACGGCGACCTTGTTGATCTCCGCTTCGACGGCGGACTGCGAGATCGACTGATACGAGACGCAAAAGGCGATCTACGACCAAAAGAGCGTGATCTAGATCGACTGTAACTACGTGATCGGGATCGCGTTCTGCTTCTTCTTCTATGTTTCCCTAAACGTCGATCTCTCTCATCCTTCTCTCGGAGCATTCGCTCGAATGCTTCCAATGGATCGTCAATGATTCTGAAGAATGAAATGTATATTAATAACATTGTATTGATCTTTACTAACCAAGGAAAATTACTGGAAAATTAACTTACCCAGGCGGATTTCTATTGTGTATATTTCTACCCAATCCAGGTGGTGGTGGTTGCAGATTTCGATATCCCACTGAAACAAGATACAAATGAAATGCTAAAATGAAAAACAGAAATGAAATAATTCAAATCAACATCAAAATATATAAGATTCTTATAAGATGCTTCGAAAAGTACAAATAAATAAGTGTCAAATTGAAGTATTTACTTGTATGTAATGGTTATTCTACAATGTGCTTTATGTTTTCTGCTTTTTGCTATTTTTTACTTCTTGTCTTTTTGCTTCTTATCCGGTTTTTTGTTTTATGTCGTCCGAGATAAAAGTTTGGAAGAAAAAGGAAATACGTAGCAAGAAATGCAATTGTTGATAAAACGGTTGCAAAAAAAGGAAAAAAGTAAAACGTAAAAAGCAAGAAACAGGAAGCAAAGAACACATTGTAAAATAGGCTTAAAGTGTTTTGCTTTTATAACAAAACTTTTCAAAAATGAATGCAATGAAAAGTGCTTTCAGGAAGTAAATGTTTTTGTATTTAAAGTATATGTATCTCTTTTTTTTAGCTATATATTTGTATCGAATGGAATAAATGTTGCTTACTATGATGCAGTCCTCTCATTGGTCCTCTTGGTGGCCCATTATAGTTTCGAGGCGGCTGAGATGGTCGATATCCTTGTTGCTGGTAAGGAGGTCTATCGTATCTTGGTGGTCCGTAATGCGATCCCTGTTGATGCGGATATATCGGTATTCGATGACTCATATATGGGTCCGGCAAAAGCGGAGGATTATGCGGAGGTACATTTGGCGGCGGCTGATTATAATTTGGTGGTGGAATGCGCTCTTCACCTGGTGGAAAAGGCAGTAATGGTGGTTGATTGCCAGATGAAGGAACGTGCAAATGTGGTTCGTCGACCTGAAATATTGCAGAAATGTGCAGCGACGAATAAATAGAAATGTTCAAGTATAAAAAAGTTCTCTTTATGTAAAGAGAATGTTCTGCTCTTACCGTTGGAGTACCCGCACGGTCTTCATTAGATCTACGTATTCCACTGTCATAATGCATAGCAGGTGGATAATGTCCATCGTCTGCTAAATGACCCTGATAGCTCTTAGAAGGAGGTGGGTTCATTAAGTGAGGTAACACCGCACTCGACGATGGATATTCGCCGTGTTGGGAGTGTCTGGGCGACAGGGATCGATTTCGATTGTGATTCAATGGCCGTAAATTCTCAATTCTACGTCCACGCTCTCCGCTTCTGCATTGTTATGGAAAATGAACAAAATGTGTAACTTAATTCAGTTTCTAAAAAAATAATAAATAAAATGCCAATTTGAACCGACACTGGTTATTAGTGTGTATTTTAATATCATTTATTCAAAGTGAATATTAAACGTATACGTTTCGATCTACGGTCAAGATTTTCTTCAATACAAAAGATATATTAACAAAATTACATAATGGTAGCACATACGAGTATAAACCAATAACATAAAAAGCGAGAAAAAACGTGGTAGTGATGTCCGAGTTAATCTTGGTCATTAAATTACTAAGTTAACTAAAAAGAAAAATATTTTATTTTAAAAAACACAACCGACCTAAGAGTTTAAAAATAAAAAAAATTGCAAACATGAGATTATACACAAAAAAACTTACACGACTGTCAAGATTGAACTGTTTTTATAAGGTTTGTTGCACATATTCTATTAAACTGTTCCATTTACTGTGTAAAGCAAATGTGAATAAATTAAAAAGTTAATATAAATAACAGTAAAAAACTAATTTTAGTTCACTTATATGAAATCAAATTTTAAAGATATTAGACACGACGTAACTGTTTGGAAGACAGATATAAAAAAGTGAGAGAAACGGTAAATAACAGAACACGTACTTACAAAGAAAATAAGTAAAAATATAAATAATAAATAAAGTATAAACGATATAGATTGGAAGCATTACGTCTTTGAAAATAGATCAATATATAACGGACCAAGAGAAAGTGTATCGTTTTGTAAATTCAGATCTTATTTTTGTTTTTTAATATGTATCATTTCTGATAACAATCTTTTATGTAGAATTTTGCTCTTTGTCTAAAATATGTACGTTGTACCAATTAAAATCATGAAATAAGTCCATCCGATGTTGTGTAATAACTGAATATTGAATCGTTTTTCTATTAATATGATTCCTATGTTCATTTATGCACGTTTTTAGGCATCTACTTGTCTGTCCAACATTCGATGCATCACAATTATCATAGTCAATCTTATATACATTAGATTGAGAAGATTGAGGTAGCACATCTTTCTAAACTTTAATAAATCTATTGAGCTTATTTATGCTTCTATAAGTAATTTTAATATATCTTTTGTACTGAAGAGGATCTTGATCGTAGGTCGTAACGTATACGTTTAATAATATTCACTTCGAATAAATGGTTAAATTAAATGGTAATTAAAACACACTAATAACCAGTGTCGACTCAAATTGGCATTTTATTTATTATTTTTTTAGAATGTTCTTTAGAGCCTATTGATTTTATTGTTTTTAATTCAGTTTATCTTTTATATCATAATAAGGATTTGGTGAGATAAGATTTGCTTTTCTTGTATCTACCTGTCGCGATGTCCATCCCTGCTGAAGCTTCGTCGACGTTCTCTCGATTGACGTTCTCCTGAGTATTCATTGTCTCGTTCTTTCTTATCGCGGCTGGAAGGATCGCTTCGTTCACGTTCTCTCTCTGGCGAACTCACGAGGGCAGGAATCGGGAGTAGAGGTTCTGTTCCTGGAGGAGGAGGCACCTCAGTTTCCTCATCAGTTGTTAGTTTTGTTATTGAATCGCTTTGCAAGTGTGACTCTGAAGTAGATTCAGGCAGAGCTGTCAGAAGCATATCACGTATAAGTAGGCAATTCAAATTGGCGATTATTATAGCTTACTAAACAGCGGATTAACGATACATCCTTGAAATTTATCGAATTGCCGTAGGCAGGATTCTTTTACACACTCTCCTTTTCATGGTGCATTTGAGGTTATGTGTTTGATATTGTCAGCTGGCCGACATAAATTTGATAAAATATATTCGTCAATGATATATGATTCTAGTGAAATAGACACGTTATCCAGCACATCTCATCGCGACAAGGCTATTTTTTTATATATCATGTATTATATGAATAAAAAAAAGTCGAAACTATACATTGATTACATACTCCAATATAATGGCGCCTGTCTGTTTACGTACAATAGAAAAATATACGGAGGGAGTATTCATGTTACAACGCACGCTCGCATGTATATACGTAAAAAATGGCTTGTTATATATGTTACAGCATAAAATAATATTTCATATATATGCGATGAAACGAAAGAGAGTGAGATATTATGAATAATTGTCTATCTGTCATTTTTTTTCCTATTTATACATATGTGAGGGTAGAAATATATTTTTCATCCAATGTAAGATCAAAGATATATCATTAATCAATACACTTGCACTACTTAAATATATGTTCTTAAATATTAAATATTTGATTAAAATTAATAAAATTCAATTAGTAATGTATAATATGTATCTATATTTATGTGTGCGAATAAGCTATTTTAACATTTATATACTTTACATATGTCGAATTAAATTATTTTAATATAATAAATCCTGATAATTTAAAAAGTCTGTGTGTGTGTGTGTGTGTGTATAAATACATTTGTGTATGTATAAAATTTTGAACACTAAATAACTTGAAAACATTATTTTCACGAATAGTAATAATAAGAGAGATAATTCTGCTGATCAGAATCTTGAATATAAAAATATTTTCTTGAATATAAAAAAAAAATTGCACATATATTTCTT